TGCAGCAGCCAGGCCTTCCACGACGACGAGGACAGCGACGACGCGCCGCTGGTGCAGCCGCGCAGGCAGGCGGCCCCGCGCAGGCGGCAGCTCTTCACGGCGAAGGGCACGCTGGCTCGAGGCGGTGACAAGCGGCCTCGCGAGGCCGAGGCGCGGCAGGCAGCGCTGGAGGCGAGCAGCAGCCAGGCCGATGGCAGGACTGCCAGCCTGGACGGCATCGGCCGCCGCGTGGCGGCACGGCTCCAGCGCGAGCGAGGGCCTCAGCTCTTCATGCCCGACGACGTGGGCAGCGTGGTGGGCCTGCCGCTGCGGCACCGCGCGCAGTGGGTCGGCGGTGACAGCGCGCTGCCCTTCGCATGCGACCGCTGCGGGGTCCGCTGCAGGGACCGCGCCCAGCTGGAGGCGGGGCTGTGCCGCGGGACGCCTGCTGCCGTGCTGGCGGCCGACGCGTCGCACCGACTGATGACCATGGGCGACGTGGTGTTCTGCAGCGCCTGCGGTGCAAGGGCGAGCGGAGGTGCGGCCGTCCTGCTGGCGGCGAAGTGCCTGGGCAAGATCGCCAACGCCACTGCGGGCACGCGGCTGAACAGGATGAAGGCGGGGAAGCACCCGACCAAGGGCCACTTCATCGGCGAGCCCGTCCAGCTGGAGGCGCGCCTAACGGAGGCCCCAGCGGAGGAGGTGCCGACAACGGCATGATGTTCGTGGGCGGCTCGCCGCCCAGCCTGGGCACTGCTGCGGCCGTTCGGCCAGCTGGGCGGCAGCGGGAGGGCGCTGGGCGGCGAGCGGCCTCAGGCGCAGCGCGGAGGCGGCCTGCGCCGTGCCGCGCCTGCGCCGCGGTGGGCTGGCGGCTGAGGCCGTAGGCCCGTGCCCGCCCGCGCGGCGGCGGCGGTCGGCGCCGTGCCGCGAGGGCGTGCCGCGCCCGCGGCGGCGAGGCGGGGGGCCGCCGCGCCGCTCGGGCGCTCGGGCGGCGCGCCGAGACAGACGGCCCGCCGCGCAAGTGGGTGCGGCTCCTCCTCCTCCTCCTCCTCCTCCTCCTCCTCCTCCTCCTCCTCGTCCTCCTCCTCCTCCTCCTCCTCGTGCTCCTCGTCGTCCTGCTCCTCCCTGAGGGGACGTGCGCTCCCGGTCGTGCCCCGCTCCTCCTCCGCGTCGTGCGCCTCCTCCCCCTGTGCGGTTCGGGGGCCCCCAAACGGGGTGGTGACCACACCCTGTGGTGAGTCGGTGGGGACTCGGGGTCACCGCACGGTTTTGGGACTCGGGTCGCTCTCCGAGGACGTCTCGGGCGACTGGGGCCTTCGAGGTCCCAAAAGCGTGCGCCGACGGACCGTGCGGTGAGGTCTTTGGGGGATTTGGAGGTCACCGCACGGTCTGCCACCGCACCACTCTGGGACTCCAAAGCGGTGCCCAGCTCGAGTGCGGACACGCCCGGGCACTCGCGAGGCCGGGCTGCCCCGGCTGGCGCAGAGCTCGGTACGCCTCGGTCCCTCCACGGAGTGGCGCTGCGTGCTCACGGCAGCACGGGCTGCCATCGGCATGAGGGAAGGCTCGGCGCCGGCTGCGATTCAGGCTACCTGCGCTCCTCCTCCTCCTCCTCCTCCTTCTTCTCGTCCTCATCTTCGCGAGTAGTGTACGTTCGAGTCTCCGCTCAGGCCGCCTGGAGCCGCTTGAGAGCTTGGAGCACGCCGCGCAAAGCGAGTTCTGGGCCTCGCCCTAGCCACAGGTGTGATAGCGACTGGCAGAGTCGACGACTGAAATCTATCGGAGATGTTGTGCTCCACGTTTTCCCAGCACTGACGCCACGCCCGCCACGCCGTTTTGTTCACCAGGAGTCTCAATGTGGACGTCGTAAAAACTGCTCCTCCACAGGGGAGCTCCGGAGGCCAGGACTCTGGAGGGTCAAACTCGCGCAGGGCCCCCCCCCCCGCCAACAAAAAGCCTCCCTCCTCCTCGTGAGGGGTACCTCCCTCCTCCTCGTGAGGGGTATTCTAGACGTTTCGCGTCACCCCACCAGCCCGTCCAGAAACAATGCCCAGGCGAGTACGCCCTTATCAGGGATGTGGCGGAGCATGCAGTGGAGCAAAGGGCTGGGGAAGCCGTCATCCCTCAAGATGGGGATGATGGGGGAAGAACCGGAGGAGGACGAGGAGGTGGAGGAGGAGGGCGATCAGAAATGCCAGAGGCCTCTTGGATGCCTCTCGGAGTCTCTTCGGATGTTTACTGCGAGTTTCTCGGGGTCCTACTGGAGCGTCTTGGGGGCCTCTTGCTGGTCCCTGGGGCCTCTTGGAGCTTCTTGGGTGCTCGGGGAAAGCCTCTTGGGGCCTCTTGGGTGTGTTTTGGGAGCCTCTTGGGGACCTCTTGGGGCATCCTGGGGCCTCGTGGGGCCCTACTGGGGCACCTTTGGGAGCCTCGGGGTCCATCTTGGGGCCATCTTGGATGAGTTCAAGAAGGTTGGAGCACTCAATTAGGCCCTCCCCTCCTCCAGGAAGCCCACATTGGCCTGGAACCGCAGGAGAGTCAATGATTCTTGCCTTCTCGCTGTGGTCATCTTGGACGGTCCAGTGGGCCGCGGGGCGCCCCGTCCAGATCCAGGGGGAGGGGGGGGGGGGAGGTGTCAAGTCACCCTCTCCGCCCGCAAGGCGTCTCGCTCACACCCACCCGCCCTCTGAACACAGAAGCGACGCTCGAGTCTCGGCGTATCGCCTGCGCGCAGCCAGCAGTATGCCGGCACCCCCGCCGTCCGTATCAAACAGTGCAAAAGGTCGCGGGGCGCCCGCGCAGGCTCCAGATTTGGAGGCAAAGTGCATTTTTGTATTGGTTTTTGATCGGGATGGTTGGCCTGCGCGCAGCCAGCAATATGCCAGCACCCCGCCGTCCCCGTCAAAAAACCAATGCAAAGTTGTCGCGCGGTGCCCGCGCATGCTCCTGATTTGGAGGCAAAGTGTATTTTGTGTGGTTTTCGGACAAGGATGTTGGGATGTGTGTGTGTGTGTGTGTGTGTGTGTGTGTGTGTGTGCGCATGTGTCTGGCCTGGCTGCCGGTCGTGTGGGGAAGGGACTGTGTATGAAGAGGGAGCAGTGGTGGACCCCCTCCCTGAAGGGGGGGACGGGGGCTCACGAGAGAAGTCGCCCCGAGCCGCTGACGCCCCAAGGGGCCGGTGGGATCCAGCGGAGGCCTCCGGGGTCCCAAGAGGCCTCCGGGGGCCCACAGCACAGACACGGAGTCGGGCGCGTGGACTTCGCGGCGGGCCCCGCGCGCGCGCCAGCTCGGCGCGCTCCGTCGCCACGCTGAGGCGGCGCTGGCCTCGTTGTTCTGTTCGGAGCGAGCGTTCCCCGATCCGTGGGCCCGTGATCTCACGGGCCTGTTTTCCACCACCACCACCAGAAGTTGGAAGGGGGGGAGGGGGAGGAGGAGGAGGAGGAGGAGGAGGAGGAGGAGGAGGAGGAGGAGGAGGAGGAGGAGGAGGACCCCCTCCCCTCCAACTTGTGGTGGTGGTGGTGGTGGAAAACAAGCCCATCAGTAATCCGTGGACCATTTTTCGGAAGGAGCTTTCCCCGGTCCGTGGCTCTGGCGCACGTGCGCCAGCTCCACGGAGCCGCCTGCCGGGGTGCGCGTGCCCTCCGAGGCAGGAGGCCGCCCCCCCCCGCGCCCCAGAGCTTCGGCCGGAGAAGGGCGCCCGTCAGGACAGCGGCGGCGCTACCGCCCTGCCCGAGTCGGGTCAACATCGGGTTCCAGACGTTGTATGTTCGTCGGTTTGTTTGCTGGTTTTTTTCTGCCTTTGAGGTGTTCTAGAAGCTCGGCGGTCACGTTCGTTTTTTGGAGTCAAAATCGGTCCCCGGGCCCCTCCCCAGGTCCATCCCCTGAGCCCTTTCTCTAGGCCTCCTAGATGGGGTCCGAGTAGATGGGGTCGGAGGATCGCGCCGCATCGTCGATGCATCGGCGATGCGGCTCGATGCGGAGCCTGATTTTCTCCACGTTGGCGTCGCCGATGCATCGCCGATGTCGCCGATGCATTGGCGATGCATCGCCGATGTATTGCCGATGTATCGGCGATGCGGCGCGATCCTCCGACCCCATCTGCTCGGACCCCATCTAGGAGGCCTCTACTTTCCCGAGGCGCCTCCGAGGCGCCGCCGGCAGCTGCGGCGAGAAGCCTCCGCCAGGGGGGGGGGGGGGCCGCCGCCGCTGCCTCGACGGGCCCCCCTCCGATCCGGGCCCTCGGTGGTCCTCGATCCTCGATCCCTTTCTCCTCGATCCTCGATCCTCGATCCTGCCCGATCCTCGATCCTCGATCCTCGATCCTCGATTCTCGATCCTCCCCTCGATCCTCGATCCCTCTCCTCGATCATCGATCCTCAATCCTGCCCGATCCTCGATCCTCGATCATACTGCCGCCCTCGATATTCGTCCACGCGTAGAGGGGGGTATGGGGGAGGGGGGAAGGCTTCTGAGAAGCACCCCTGCTTCTCAGAAGGCGCGGGCCTTGCCTGCAGATGTAACGCCCGCGCCTTCCAAGAAGCAGCCTCCTTCTCAGGAGCCCTCCCCCCTCCTCCTACCCTTCGGTCGGGCCTGTCCCTCTACAGGAGGAATCTTCAAACATGGTCAGAAACTAGCACGGAGACGATTTTTGGAGTATGTTTTGACCATTCTGAGGATTTCTCTGCCCATCTGTTATTTTTTCGTCCAAAAAATACCCCTGCAGGACGACAGGCCCGACTTACTCCCGCCCCCCTCTGCGCGCCGCCCTTGGAGTAGGAGGAGGAGGAGGAGGAGGAGGAAGAGGAGGAGGAGGAGGAGGAGGAGGAGGAGGAGAGGAGGGGAGGAGGCGGAGGAGAGGGGAGGAGGAGGAGGAGGAGGAGGAGGAGGAGGAGGAGGAGGGGGATCTGTTTGACCATCTCTTATTCTTCGTCCAACAAAAAGTGCCCCTGCAGGACGACAGGCCCGACTTGCTCCCGCCCCCCTCTGCGCGCCGCCCTCGGTGCGCCGCCCCGCCGCCCGTGGAGGCCCGCAGCGCGGGCCCGCGCCGGAGGGCGCGCCGCAGGGCCCGCCGCCGTGAGGGCGGGCGGCGGGCGGCGCGCAGACCGAGCCCGCTGCGTGCGCGCCGCCCGTGGCCGTCGCGGTCGCCGTCGCCGTCGCGGTCGCCGTCGCCGTCGCCGTCGCCGTCGCCGTCGCCGTCGCGGTCGACGTCGCCGTCGCCGTCGTCGTCGTCGTCGTCGTCGTCGTCGTCGTCGTCGTCGTCGTCGTTGTCGTCCTCCTCTTCCTCCTCTTCCTCCTCCTTCTTCCGAAGCTCCTCCATCAAGCGCCTCCTTCTTTTACTCCTTTGTCTCACTCCTGTATCACCTCCTCCTGCTCCTCCTCCTCGGGCGCCTCGTCTCCTTCGGTGCGTCCTTCTTCTCTCCTCTTGAGAATGGCGATCAGTAGGAGGCGGAGGCGGAGGAGGAAGAGGAGGAGGAGGAGGAGGAGGAGGAGGAGGAGGTGGAGGAGGAGGAGGAGGAGGAGGAGAAGTAGGAGGAGGAACAGGAGGAGGATGAGGAGGAGGGAAAGGAGGAGGAGGATGAGGAGGATAATGAGAAGGAACAGCAGGAGAAGGAGGAGGGTGGAGGAGGAGGAGGAGGAGGAGGAGGAGGAGGACGGAGGGTGGAGGAGGACGAAGAGGAAGAGGGGGAGGAGGAGAAACAGGAGGAGGAGGAGGAGGAGGAGGAGGAGTAGGAGTAGGAGGAGGAGGAGGAGGAGGTTGATGCGTTGGAGGATAAGGGGTGGGGGGAGCAGAAGCGAGGAGGGCAAAGCTCGGAGGAGGGAGGAGGGAGGAGGACAAACACTTACAATGAGGACGTGGAGGAGGGATGGGTGTTAACTGTTAGACGAGAAACAGGGGATGGACAACGGAAATGGTCGAGGAGCGACGAGGACAATCCAGGAGGAGGAGGAGGAACACGAGGTGGAGCTGGAGTGCTGGGATGGAGCTGGAGTGCTGGTAAACGGTGCTGACTGTGACGGCGATCGCGACGATGACGCCGATGATGATGGTGATGATACTGGCATTGATGATGGTGCTTGTGATGATCATGGTAATGACGATGGAAATTCTGAGGCTGATGGTGCTGATGATGCCGACGATGCTGGCGATGATGCTGATGGTGGTGGTCATGCTCGTGGTAATGATCATGATGATTGCGATGGTGGTGATCACAGTGGTCATGTCGATGGTGACGATGATGCTGACATTATGACGAGGATGAATGTGGTGATGCTGATGGTCAAGATGATGGTGATGATGGTGATGGTGATGGTGGTGGTGATGATGAAGGTGGTCATGGTGACGATGATGCAGATGATGCAGATGATGATGATGATGATGATGATGATGATGATGATGATGATGATGATTAATGATGATGATGATGATGCTGATGATGATGATGATGATGATGATGATGATGATGGTGTTGATGATTGTGATGGTGGTGATGATGGTTATGATGACGACGGTGTTGATACTGGTGATGGTGATGGTGATTGTGATGGTGATGATGCTGATGACGATGATGTGGATGATGATGCTGTTGCTGCTGATGATGATGCAGACGATGGTTAGTATGATGATGATCTCCACCGGAATGAACTTCGTTCACAGGGAGAAGTTAGACAACGGGGGGAGGAAGGAGAGGAGGCCCTGGGCCGCGCGCCCGCAGCTCTCTGGCCAGCCCGCAGCCCGCCCGCTTTCGGCTACGGCGCCGGGCACCCGGCCCCTCCCGCTGGAGGTGCCCTGCGTCCCAGGCCCGCGCCTCGCGTGAGGTGCCTGGCCAGAGGCCTTGGGCCAGGCGCTCCAGGGCTTTGCGCCCTGCCTGGCGCGGCTGCCGCCCCGGCGGAAGACAGGGCTTGGCCATCCCTGTCAGCACGCCGCCTTGCCTCGCGGCGGTGGCCCCGGCCCGCGCGCAGAGCCGGACGGGCATTGCGCCATGGGCTCGGAGATCGTGGGAAGGAGGAGGAGGAGGAGGAGGAGGAGGAGGATGAGGAGGAATAAGAAGCGGAGGAGGAAGAGGAAGAGGAGGAGGAGGAGGTGGGGAAAGTGGGTGAGTTGCCCTCCCGCTCTCACCTGCTCCACGGCTGGGCGTGCCCCTCCTGCAGGCCCAGGGCCCGAGGCTGCCGCAGGCCCCGCGGGCGACCCGCCACGTGCCGTTCGCGGCCCCGTCGCGCACGCGCTCCTCGAGCCCCCGCGCTTTCAGACAGGCGCGCCCGGCAGCGAAGGCACACTGCCGCGCCGCGGGCGCCAGCGACGGCAGGCACCGGCCGGCCTGTCTCCCGCGGAGCAGCCTCGCACGGCGCGGCGGCGCGCCCGCTCTCGAGCAGCACCGCCCCCGAGGCCGCGGCACGCTGGGAGGACGGCCGCGGGACGCTGCCGGACGCGCGCGGCCGGCGCGTCCGTATCCTGGACCGCCTGCAATTCGCTCTCCGGCAGCATCACCTCGGTCGTCGCCATCTCGGCGAGCTTGGTCGCAGCCTCGTCGAGGCGCGCGTGCAGCACTGGGAACCTCCCGCTGAAGGCCTCGTCAGGGGGACGGTGGTGATGGTGATGGTGGCGGTCATGATGCTGATGATGATACTGGTGATGATGATGATGATGATGATGATGATGATGATGATGATGATGATGATGATGATGATGATGATGATGATGATGATGATGCAGATGATGATGATGAGGATGACGACGATGATGATGGTGATGATAATGATGATGATGTTGCTGGTGTTGCTGCTGCTGATGAGGATGCTGATATTGATGATGATGATGATGATGATGATGATGATGCTGATGATGATGATGATGATGATGATGATGATGGTGGTGGTGGTGGTGGTGGTGGTAGTGATGACGATGAGATGATGATGATGATGATGATGATGATAATAATAAGAAGAATAATCATGATGCTGACGCTGATGATGCTGCTGATGCTTCTGATGCTGCGGATGCTGATGATGCTGATGGTGATGGTACTGTAATGATGATGGTGAAATCGATGGTCATAGTGATGGTGATGTGGAAGGGGCATGGTGATGGTGATGCTGGTTGTGATATTCATGGTGAGGATTACGATGCTGGTGATGGTGACGACGATGTGGGGAGCATAATGACAAGCAGGCCCTGTAGTCAAGCTAGCCAGCTCTAACGATGCAGCGGGCCCCGCTGCACTCACACTCCCCCCCGCCTACGGCATGTTCGCGTTGTGTCGACGCGGCGGCGATTCCAGCGCGGGCGTTCAAGGTTGAACGCCGCCATGGAACGATCTCATGATCGAGACGCCGCAGGCCGCTCAGGGCCGAACGATCCACGCGGTGTCTGAAGCCAACGCCGGGGTCGTCACGATGCGAACCTGCCGTGCAGTGAGCGGCTTGAGTAAGGAACACTTGCTTTTCAAAAGGGGCTCGGTCGTTCCCGTATGCGTTATCCATCGTTCCGTATGCGTTTCTCATTATTTATCGTTCCTTATGCATTGTTCCTTGAAAACAAAGGGACTTCGTTCCTTATTTCTCGTTCCTTAGGTCAGGCCGATGGCTGTACCCCAACAGTGTCATCAACGACGACACGACCCAGCAGGCCATCACCAGCAAAGTGCTCGGCCGCGCCGAGGTGCGAATCACCCGTGCAGAGCGAACACGACGCGGCACCTCGCCCGCGCCCGTGCCCGGGACAGGCAGGCGGCACGGCCGCCGCGGCCCAGGAACTTCACTGAAAGCGGATGCTTCTTTCACGCGTGAGGTCCACGCGGAAGCGCCGTTGTGACGCTCGGTGGCGCCCAGGGAAAACGGCCCTGGACGTTTGGGGGTGGAGTGGCGCAGACCTCCAGCGCGCTGGGCAACTCAAGTCGGAGGTTCTCGCCGTCTTCGGCGCCCGGCAGCGCCGTTGTGGCGCTCGGTGGCGCCCAGGGAAAACAGCCCTGGACGTCTGGGGGGAGTGGCGCAGACCTCCAGCGCGCTGGGCAACTCAAGTCGGAGGTTCTCGCCGTCTTCGGCGCCCGGCAGCGTCGTTGCGACGCTCGGCGGCGCCCAGGGAAAGCGGCCCTGGTCGGCTGGGGGGAGTGGCGCAGAGCTCCAGCGCGCTGAGAATCTCAGGTCGGAGGTTTGTCGCCGTCTTCGGCGCCCGGCAGCGTCGTTGTGACGCTCGGTGGCGCCCAGGGAAAGCGGCCCTGGTCGGCGAGGGGGGGAGCGGCGCAGACCTCCGGCGCGCAAAGCAACTCAAGTCGGAGGTTTGTCGCCGTCTTCGGCGCCCGGCAGCGCCGTTGTGGCGCTCGGAGGCGCCCGGGGAAAGCAGCCCAGAGGGGGGGAGTGGCGCAGACCCCCAGCTCGCTGTGAAACTCCAGTCGGAGGTTTTCGCCGTCTTCGGCGCCCGGCAGCGCCGTTGCGACGCTCGGCGGCGCCCAGGGAGAGCGTACCTGGACGGCGGGGGGGAGTGGCGCAGACCTCCAGCGCGCTGAGCAACTCAAGTCGGAGGTTTGTCGCCGTCTTCGGGGCCACGTGGCCCTCGCCCGACCTTGGGAGGGGGCCTGTGGCCGTCAACTAGGGTTAAGTCGGGCCTGTCCCTCTACAGCACGGCGACGATTTTTCTGATTACTTTTGACCATTTCGGTGCATTTTTTGGTATGTTTCATTTTTCGCCCAATATCCGCCTGTAGGGGAACATGCCCGACCTGACAGTTGGGCGACGCGTGCGGGGCGACAGGCTGGCTCCCGGGGAGGTGGTCCAGAGCTCCGGGGGCCCCGCACGGACGCAGCAGCACGTCGGAGGTCTGGGGTCGACAAGGGGATCAACTAGAGCGTGTTTCTTCATTGCTTGGGGCCTAATGGGCATTATAGCCCCCGGCCCCCCCCCCATAACGTAACCCCCCTCCCCCAGCAGTGCGCTCCAGGCACTGCCACCGTGCGCGCGCACTGCGGGGGGGGGAGGCGTTACACTGTACCCCTCCCTGGCCCCTCCCCCCTATAGTGCCCATTATCGCCGAAAATGAAAACTGCGCTCCTACATGATATATGCACTTCAAGATTGACCTTTCC